TCCTCCGGCCCCCCCGCCCCCGGAGACACACATTCACATTGTTGTCACCTGGAGTTTCCCTACCTCTCACACAAATCCCGACATTAGACATTTTAGAAGATGCGACGCCCTTGCTTTAAAGTTCTGAAAGTTCAAAAATAACCGCGAACAGTTCGATGTCACCCTAGACAACTAGCACCATATATATAATATTATGCAGAGGTAATTAAACAATAAAAACATAACAGCTAGAGAGGTAAATATGTGTGTTTGACTTCTAACTGTTATTTCAACTGAAACTATATCAGTTACCTTTTAGACTCCCAGTGTCCGAGGAGGATTGTCACGTGTGTGTTTATTTGTCTATGTTATCACGTGTTCATTCATGTTATTTTATCTATCTTTATCACGTTCTTCTCAGATATATGTTCATTAACCTGATACTATATAATTAAACATCAACGTTGTCTACTTACAATAAAGTTTTCTTATTTGCGAGATTATAAGTCGTAGTGAAATTGTCCTTAGACTGACTACAGTTACACCAGTCACAGTCTCGGTTTCGGAGTGTGTTTCTCGGACTCTGGAGTCCCACCCACACCACACACACACACACACACACACACACACACACACACACACACACACACACACACACACACACACACACAACTGTGGTGGTTTGTCTGGAAATTCTCGAGCGACGATGTTTTGTGTGACTAGGGGATTGTGACCTCCGAAAGTCCGGCCGCGTGTCGAGAGGACGAAGTGTAAACGAGGACGTAACAGGATGAGACACCAGACTGACGTACACACCTATAGTCCGACTCTCTGATGGCTGTACTGTGACCGAAGACACTCCCTTGACTCGTGTCTTCACTAAACTCGGAGTCCCGACTTTCGGAGTGTCACAAATAGTCCTACACGTACCATCTCTTTTCCGTTTTCTTGCACCAACACGATTTGTACCGTATCAAGATATCAACGTCTCTGCGTCGTCTCGAGTGTGACATGTTGTCTACCGTGAGTGTCAGGACTATCCGGTCGTGTCTCCATATGATGGGACACAGTACGCGTGTTAACTGTAGTCAGTCCTGGAAATATGCACTCCTACTAGCGCAACAGACTTAATGTGATGGATGCTCATACTCAATGATCATTGTATGAGTAGCCTCGCCGCTTAGTGATGTAGAGAGACAGAAGTCGATTGTACAGTCTTTTACAGGTATCTACCGGTTTAGGGAGTTGGCAATGTTTGTGGTACGACGTACACTATCAGAGGGGGTCTAAAGTTACTTTAGTTTCAATGAATAACAGTTTGAACAACAATATTAGCTTATGTAGTGTAACAGAATAATAGACACTAATGTAAGTGTCACTGCGGGAAACATGTCGCATTATGTTTGGAGTACACAACTTTGTTTGCTCAATGTCGGATTTGCACAGAGAATATCCACGAGACTTGAAGTTTACTCGGGGAAAAATGAAGACGGGTGTGACTAATAAAGTTCCACGAATTGTGCTTGTGTAGGTCCCAGATTGCCCGCCAAGGCCCGCCCAACTTTGGTGTAAAACCTCCAGGTAAGACTGTCGGAAAAGGTATATGTTACTAGACTTGACCACTCCAAAATCTTGGGCTGCCAGCCTCTTAATCCGACTAGTGCGCAAAACCGTGTGTCCAGACCATTTATTCTTGTAATACTAATTGTGCATGTGTGCGAAGGGACCCCGGACAAAGTCAAGTTCAAGTTTCTCTTCGACGAAAACTTCTTAAACTACTTTGTAAGAATCTTAGAACGTAAAAGATTCTTAAAGGAGTGTAATTATATCGAAGACGTATTCGTCTTTTGGTAAAATTTTTTCGTGGATTCCACAAGAAACTCATCGCCGTCCTCTTATCCTGACGTTACAAAGGATTACTCTCCAATCGTCATACAATTTAATCTATTGTTTAAGGTTGTACCATTTACTTTGTAATTATTTTATGTACAATAGAATGTTGACCTATACTTCGTGGTCAGTCGATTCATAAATTAATGTGACAATTAGAACTCAAAAGGTTAAACCTTTGCCATAACATTATAATATAAAAAACTGGACATGAAATTCGACAATATCGAACAAACTCAACTATCTCTACTACGTTAACAAAAATCACAACACACTACACATCCACATGGACGGATTTCCTGACGCTACCTTTGACTATCGATATGTTACTTGTTGAATAAAAGACCTCTACCTTACAATAAACATACGTACCAGAGAACAAGTTTATTATGTATTGTAATGTACAACTCATCCGATGCATAGTAATCCGGACACATAAATATGATACACACGCGATGAAAATTTCTTCAACCGAATGCCTTACATAAGTTCTAAACAAAATTATCATAAATAAAAAATGTGGTATCTCTATTAAACCAAATATACAATGTGTAATCTTAGTCCATTATAAAAGAGAATATAAGTGTAACACGTGGACTAATTCAAATATAACATATTAGTAAGAGTACAATGTGAAATACATAATAAAAACATGGTGTAAGCTTAGTTTTACTAGGGTGGGGAAGAGGTTTTGATTTAATAACTGAAAAACAAAAGAGGTATTAGTCCAGAGAGAAATGACTCCAAGTAGCAAGGCATTACAAATCAGTCCCGGTCCGAGCGTCATTGTAACACATGTTACACAGTTGAGTGCCGGTCCCCGGTTTGGCCCGGGCCGACTGGAGATACACCGGGGTTCTCGAAAGTTTCTTATATTTAGTACACAGGAATAGTGCCGAATGTAGGGCTAAATGTCGTCGTGCCAACAGGTCATTTGATGTGACAGGGTGTCTACGTTAGAATGTTACACGGAAAAAGAGTCCCTGAAACGAAAAAAAAAAGTTTGAAAAATAAAAGAAACTTATAACGTAAGAAAAGTCTAGTCTAAAAAAGAGGTTTACAGTAAAAAAAGAACGGCTAAGATGGAAACAAATGTCTAAAATTAAAAAGAAAAAATGTAGTGAAACACTGCAAGTGACTCCTGTGAACGTTAGATAACCGGATCTGAAGACGAAAGCTGCATCAATTAATAATTAATATGGGATAGGCAATTGATAGGTGTACGTCCCGGTTATAATTATATTTTATAAATTATATATTTTATTACTACTCAAAACATAAATCAGAAATATCTATTTGACAGGACAACGACATGAGTAGCGCGCGAAAGTGGGCCCGCACAGCGTTGTGCTAGAATAACCTGCTTATGTTTTTGGTCCACGGCCACTCCTTGATCCGGTAATGCTGGTCTTGTGCTGGGTTAGCAGCTGGGGGGGGGGTGGTGTGTGACAGCTGGCATTCTGCAGGCTCATTGGAGCAAATACACCCCGGACACTCGCACTGCAGCCGGGCCGAGCCGGACAGCTGTCCTGGGCTGGGTTAGTGGGGAATAATGAATTGGAGAGGAGAGGAACAAGAAAAATTGGTTGAGTTCTGAATTCAACGAGACATTTCTGTCTGCAAAAACTCAGTAATTCTGCCTTAAGGATCACATGCATGCCTCAGCCAATTTTTTTTGTTTCCTTTTGAATTATGCAGATGAGTTGCGATCAAAGACGGCGAATGGAATTGCTTTTAACCGACCTGAGTTAAAGTTAGTCACCCTTCAGGCTCTGTCTGTCTGAGTGGAGGAGAGCGGGGAGATTAATATCCTTTTTTTCAAGCTGATGAAACAATACATGAGAGCTTGGTTTTTTTGTGACACGTGTACCACATCCTGTTTCTGTTCTCTTATGTATTTGCTTGTCAGAAGTTGGGCTCTTATTGGCTTTGAGTGTGAGTTTTGCAAAGTCATTCGGATGGAGAATGCATGACTGAGCTGTCTCTGTGTTGCTCAGTTTCCCCTGAAATGTGTAAATATCTAGATAAGGGTTGGGCAATGTAATGTTGAAATCCTCTAATATTCCACCGTCAGCCCAACAACCGGTGAAGGTTGACATATTTTCACATGTCTGTATTTGTGTGAGTGCTCCGGATAGCGTGCAAACACACTTCATATGATATACAAAGATTCACACAATGTTTCAACAAGTTATAACCAATTCTTTGTTGGTCAGCGCATCAAGTTACACTGCACACATTTCGCTTAGCGGTGGTGACGTGAAGTCATGTGACCGTGCTGTAGTTCCTTTATAGCCCAACATTAGCCACCTTTAGCTTAGCGGTGGTGACGTGAAGTCATGTGACCGTGCTGTAGTTCCTTTATAGCCCAACATTAGCCACCTTTAGCTTAGCGGTGGTGACGTGAAGTCATGTGACCGTGCTGTAGGTTCCTTTATAGCCCAACATTAGCCACCTTTAGCTTAGCGGTGGTGACGTGAAGTCATGTGACCGTGCTGTAGTTCCTTTATAGCCCAACATTAGCCGCCTTTAGCTTAGCGGTGGTGACGTGAAGTCATGTGACCGTGCTGTAGTTCCTTTATAGCCCAACATTAGCCACCTTTAGCTTAGCGGTGGTGACGTGAAGTCATGTGACCGTGCTGTAGTTCCTTTATAGCCCAACATTAGCCACCTTTAGCTTAGCGGTGGTGACGTGAAGTCATGTGACCGTGCTGTAGT